TACTTCTACACACCATGATTATCATGACCTGTACCAGTGTACTAGGGATAAGCAAAAAAAAAAAAATCCAACTCCAAGTTCCAAATAACTTTATTAGGTGCCGCTCAAAAAGAGCAACTTAGATCATCATATTTACAATATACTGAGGGGGTGGTTATGTACAGGGGTTCATTTACAATTATAATTTATAATGGGGCTGTGGGGATATTTAGAAAAAAAAAAAAAAGAAAAAGAGCGGGGTGCGGGGTGGTGTAAGGCAACCTGCGATTGCTGTGGCAGTGTGGAAGAGGCCCTCTCTCAGAAAGAGGAACAAATGGAAATGGTGACATTTATACTCAGGTTGCTATTCACGGCGAAGAGATGGGCAACCTGTGTATCAAACACCAGGCAGTCGCTGTTCATAATGGCGGAGTGGGTACCCTCGCGGATGGAACGTGGCGTAGCTTCCCATGTCAATCTCCTCCGGTGGCAGTTCAGCTGGAGCCTGCGCAGATATTGAGGTTTTTATTTTTTCTCACCTTTATAGCTGTGTATGTGTTTGGTTCATGCATCCATTTATTTTTTAAACCAGGGTAGAAAACCTGCTTGAAGCAAAAGTGGGGGGAAAGAGAGAGTACTTTTGGCAGGAGTGGATATACGACTGTTCCTTATCAGACAAAGGGTAATTGGGATAACACTGTAGACCTAGTAGCTTCCTTTCTACCAAGACTATCCATGCATAGTGTTGACCACATGAGAAGCTGCTGTTGTCAAAAGATCTAGACTGGAGAATCATAAACCACCCTGGTCAGTGTGAAACAGCAAATGGCAGTACTGGCAAGAGGCCAAAGTGAAAAGAATGGAATATTGCAAGATGCTTCAAATCAATCCGGCTTATCGTCTGAATACAAGTATTTTTGTTGTATATTCCTTTTTGACTTGTACTAATCTAAAAATTTCTGTCAACACTACTAATTATTATTTCAAGAAAAGGAACTGCTTGTTCTCAATTGCTTGTAGATAAGTTTATACCAAACCTTTTCTTTCTTCTTTACCCTTATTTAATACATTGTGAATAACATTGCTTATTATTGCTACTATCACTTTTATTTCCGTATATACCCTCTTCTACTTGGAGAATCTGTATAAGACCAAAAGGTTATAATAAAGCTTTTTGTTGTTGTTGAATACAAGTAGTTTGAATGTTCCACACACTTATCTATGAGGGCGCAAATAGAAAAAAAGCTATATGCCAGATTTCAAAAAGGATAAATGGCAAAGTGTGTCATTCATATAGGAAATTGTGGTTATCATTTTTTAAATTTCCACAAGGTAAAAAAAGACCAAATCCAAATAAATAAATAGTGTGTGATGTTTCGTAACAACATTGTTACCATTATCAGTCAAAAGTACTTCAGTACTTATTAGTTTATTCAATACTCCTTGTGTTTTCAATCTTTAATCCAAATTGTGCTTTATCATTTTCAATTTCCTATATGGATAACAGTTTGCCATTTATCCGTTTTAAAAATCTGGCGCCAAGTGGTAACATTACCACTCATTTTTAAAATAGGGCCATCTTTCGACCATGTATAGAATTTGAAAAAGAAAAATGCAAAGTTGAAAATAAAATAAAAAATGAGAGAGGAAGACTAGGTAGTAAAGAATTTACCCAGACTAATCTATTAGCTTAATTGTCTTTATATAATTTTTCCTGTATTTAAATATCATATTACCATTCAAGTACTATTGCTTTTTTCCTTCATGTGTCCTACATTTCTGCTTGGAGAATCTGTATAAGACTAAAAGGTCTTAATAAAGATTTTGGTTGTTGTTGACTATGTATTAAAATGAATTTAAAAAAATCCTGACCATGCCCTTTCTCATTTATACAGTCAGGAAATGCCTATACAGCAGAACCTCCATGAGAGGATACTTGCGCTAGTGGACACCACTCTACAAAGGACAGTTTTGATTTGCAAAATTACCATTTTTGCAATTTAGCAACTCTCCAGTAGGATGACACCTCTCCCTACGGGACACTTTGGCTTTGCAAATTAGGAGTTCTTTACAGGAAGGTTCTACTATATATTCATTTATACAAGAATTAAGTGCTAACAATTCTGGTAAACTGCCACCAGCAGGTTTCCATTCTCCAGAACAAAGGTTATCTTGACTATAAGTCTGGCTGCTGATATTATTCCAACAACTCTCTATGGTAGGTGACTCCCAGCCAATTATTCTGTTTTAGCCCCAGAATGTTGGTTGAGACCTACCTGTAGATGAAGGACTCTGCCTGCTTCCAGGAGCCAATGAGCTTGACGATGGCAAAAAACTGCTGGTGGCCATCATACTTCTCCTGTTTCTCCAACACCAGCATGAAGTGGTGGCCGAAACAGGATTGCATCATGACCCAGTTTACTGCCCCGGGGAGATTAATATTAAAGGCCTTGTATACTATGTCCTCTGCCTCCCCTGCAAGAACACACCACTCTTTGGAATACACACACAGACATTTTATTATTTATTACAATAAATAATATAAGTGCACCACATGTCTACACATTTGAAAAGCAGTTCGACTTTTACACTTACAAATGTGCCAGAGCCCTGTTTGGTTACTTGCACTCGCTGATGGGGTTGGATTTTAGCAAGAATTGGGGGGCAATTGGAGTATTTTTAAATTAGAAAGTGCCTAATGCGGGATTCGATCCCGGGTCATAGTAGTCGAAAACCAACTGTACGACCACCCTTCCACCGACCCCCAAGTATATAAAGACATTATTTCTACAACCACAAAAAAAGGACATTTTCAATGAATACCAATTTTCTGATTTGTAGCGGACTGATTGATCATATAGGTGAAATGTAGGATTACCACTGATGTGAGATCTTCCTACAAATACAACACTGTTGTTTAATGGCTATATAAACATTTTAGAAATAGAGAAAAATGCTTGTATATATATATATATATATAATTATATATAATTTCACAGTGAAGATATACTTGTACAAAAGAGGGAGGAGACACCTCTCGCTTTATAAACATTCCTTAAACATGGCAGTTCGGACCAATCTAAAACTGGCGCAAATCACCCTCACCAACTAAAATATCTCATTGGCAGTTTCAGTTGATTACATATACATACATACATATATATGACATCTCTCCCTTTAGTTATGCATCAAAACAATGCATCAGGTTATCACCGTAGTAAAATACTTTACTAGTGGTTATAAAGAATGACACCAGTTTTGGCAAATTCAGACAAAAAGCGAACCTGTATACCATGGTTTCAGGCTAAGTTTTTAAATTGAAGTTGCACCTGTACTGATGAGGGCCATAACCAGAAATCATGGCATACAGGTTGGCTTTTGTTTGAACTGGTGTTATGGCTCATTATTTATCATCACTAGCAAAGTTTTTTCCTATGGTGCTGAACATGAAACATCATTCTGATACAAAATTAAAAGGAGAGATACCTCTATAGAACCATAGTCGGCTATTTGCTTGAATTGCACAATAGCTGGTGCTTTGTATTGGGCATATTCACTGATCCCAATCTGAAAATTTTGTAGTGAGAAAATATTTTGAAACAATATATCAATAGACATTTTTATAAAGGAATAGGGTGTCTTTTGCACGAAAATAGCTTTCTTCTCCATCAAACTTGATTACAAAGATTACAATTCATTGATTTTCTTATATGCCAATTAAAAGACTTCACAAGTGAATGTTGCCTCAAGGTACCCACTAGTAGCCTATCTGTTCAGCTTAGATGCCGGAATATCTTTTAAAAATGGGGCATTTTATTAAGGCAAGGAAATTTAACAAGGACTATTTGAACCTAGCAAACCACTGCCACAGTGGGTGTCAGTAACCAGACTCTGGCACTAAATGTGTAGACAAGCGGTCTACATGAAAGAGCTTAAAAAGTTGCTAACTATACTCATCAAGTAACATGTCTAAACAATTAAAATACAATATAACGCGGCTGATGATTGTAAAACGAAAATTAAAATTATACCGCGAATGTTTCTTTTAAAAATCGAAATTTATTTTCAAAGAGAAATAGCGACATTTCTAACTTTGAGGATGAGGTATGGAAAGGTGAAACATGAAGAGTAATGGAGAACGGAAAAATAAAAAGTGTCCAGGGGCGGGAATCGAACCCACGCCCTTCTGCTTACCGGGGCAGGTGCCTTGTCCACTCGGCTACCCTGGACGTATTTTTCCGTTCATAACTTATATTTAAAGTAACATTTAAAATACCATATAACGCGGCTGATGTATGTAAAACGAAAATTAAAATTATACCGCGAATGTTTCTTTTAAAAATCGAAATTTATTTTCAAAGAGAAATAGCGACATTTCTAACTTTGAGGATGAGGTATGGAAAGGTGAAACATGAAGAGTAATGGAGAACGGAAAAATAAAAAGTGTCCAGGGGCGGGAATCGAACCCACGCCCTTCTGCTTACCGGGCAGGTGCCTTGTCCACTCGGCTACCCTGGACGTATTTTCCGTTCATAACTTATATTTAAAGTAACATTTAAAATACAATATAACGCGGCTGATGATTGTAAAACGAAAATTAAAATTATACCACGAATGTTTCTTTTAAAAATCGAAATTTATTTTCAAAGAGAAATAGCGACATTTCTAACTTTGAGGATGAGGTATGGAAAGGTGAAACATGAAGAGTAATGGAGAACGGAAAAATAAAAAGTGTCCAGGGGCGGGAATCGAACCCACGCCCTTCTGCTTACCGGGCAGGTGCCTTGTCCACTCGGCTACCCTGGACGTATTTTCCGTTCATAACTTATATTTAAAGTAACATTTAAAATACAATATAACGCGGCTGATGATTGTAAAACGAAAATTAAAATTATACCACGAATGTTTCTTTTAAAAATCGAAATTTATTTTCAAAGAGAAATAGCGACATTTCTAACTTTGAGGATGAGGTATGGAAAGGTGAAACATGAAGAGTAATGGAGAACGGAAAAATAAAAAGTGTCCAGGGGCGGGAATCGAACCCACGCCCTTCTGCTTACCGGGCAGGTGCCTTGTCCACTCGGCCTACCCTGGACGTATTTTTCCGTTCATAACTTATATTTAAAGTAACATTTAAAATACAATATAACGCGGCTGATGATTGTAAAACGAAAATATAAGTTATGAACGGAATATAAGGGCCATTAGCTTTGAAACCACGGTCCCCATGTTGTCATCCTGAATTTGCCACTAACTGCTAGTTTGCATAGAGAGACTATAGAGTGTGCATAATTTTTTTTATAAATATTTTTTGACAGAAGAGGCAACCTTTCTTTTTATAAAACACAATATCCTACTGAACAAAATCCCCCATAAACATACAGTAAAACCCCGCTAAAACGAGCCCTGGAGAATATAGCAAACCTTCCCTTATAACAAACCTGAAATATCCCCCATTTTTATTTTATATTACAGTGTACTATGGCTATAATGAACCATGGCTATAGTGAACTATAGGTTCAGTCCCTATTGGGTTTCCCTATAAAGGGGTTTTACTGTATTTAGTTAGAGGATGTATTTTAAGCTTTTTTTTTCAACTTGGGTTTTTAAAGTCAAATTGAAACAGTTGCTAGTCAACAGAAAGAAAGTCTTCCTGTGGAACCATCTACCTTCCTGCACTGTGGGGGTCACAAGATATGATGGTAAAATACATTTTGCTGAAACCTAGGGTTATATTCTATATTATTGGATACCGGATCTTGCACAAGTCCCAACCTCAGCGGTGACGGTAACAACCTAATGTTTATTATGTGTAATAACATTATTATTCATTTTACATACTCCTGTAGAAGGGCAGGGATGCCTGAAAGCTTGAGATAACATCAATAAAAAGAAACTCATTTCCAGAAAGTTGTTGTATTCTTTCAATAATATGCAGATAGGAACACAAGGTACAAGACAAAATTCATATAAATAAATAATGTACAGCAATGTACATCACACACTATTTATTTGGATTTATTACCTTGTGTTTATAATCTACTAGACGAATGGCCCGGGCAACGCCCTGGTTTTACCCGAGTGCGTATATATTTTAAAATGTTATAATTAAAATACTATTCGTTACAATTATAAATTGGCGCCGTGGATGTCTCTCTTGTGAAACGTCCCGCCCCAAACTGTGTGTGTCTTGAAAATATAAAATAAAAATGTGAACGGAAAAATATGTCCAGGGTAGCCTAGTGGTCATGGCATCTGCCCGGTAAGCGGAAGGTCGTGGGTTCGATTCCCATCCCTTGACACTTTTTTTATTTTATCCATTCTGACCAAAATCTATCCGTGAACTTCACACAGTGAACTTCACACAGAGAGAATAAGGCAATTATATAAGTAGATAATCCAAATTGTGCCTTATCACACACTATTTTTTTATTTGGCCTTATTACCTTGTGTTTATAATCTATGACGTAATGCCGGCGGCGCGCGCCCGTTGGCTGCCGGCGAGCACGTGATCTCCCTGTGCGCGCGCATCCGTGACAGAACCGGCCCATGACGGTCGTGACTATATATATACGAATGGCCCGGGCAACGCCCGGGTTTTACCCGAGTGCGTATATATTTTAAAAATGTTTTAATTAAAATACTATTCGTTACAATTATAAATTGGCGCCGTGGATGTCTCTCTTGTGAAACGTCCCGCCCCAAACTGTGTGTGTCTTGAAAATATAAAAATAAAAATGTGAACAGAAAAATATGTCCAGGGTAGCCTAGTGGTCATGGCATCTGCCCGGTAAGCGGAAGGTCGTGGGTTCGATTCCCATCCCTTGACACTTTTTTTATTTCATCCATTCTGACCAAAATCTATCCGTGAACTTCACACAGTGAACTTCACACAGAGAGAATAAGGCAATTATATAAGTAGATAATCCAAATTGTGCCTTATCGCACACTATTTTTTTATTTGGCCTTATTACCTTGTGTTTATAATCTATGACGTAATGCCGGCGGCGCGCGCCCGTTGGCTGCCGGCGAGCACGTGACCTCCCTGTGCGCGCGCATCCGTGACAGAACCGGCCGGCCCATGACGGTCGTGACTATATATATAACTAGACGAATGACCCGGGCAACGCCCGGGTTTTACTCGAGTGCGTATATATTTTAAAAATGTTTTAATTAAATACTATTCGTTACAATTTTAAATTGGCGCTGTGGATGTCTCTCTTGTGAAACGTCCCGCCCCAAACTGTGTGTGTCTTGAAAATATAAAAATAAAAATGTGAACGGAAAAATATGTCCAGGGTAGCCTAGTGGTCATGGCATCTGCCCGGTAAGCGGAAGGTCGTGGGTTCGATTCCCATCCCTTGACACTTTTTTTATTTTATCCATTCTGACCAAAATCTATCCGTGAACTTCACACAGTGAACTTCACACAGAGAGAATAAGGCAATTATATAAGTAGATAATCCAAATTGTGCCTTATCACACACTATTTTTTTATTTGCCTTATTACCTTGTGTTTATAATCTATGACGTAATGCCGGCGGCGCGCGCCCGTTGGCTGCCGGCGAGCACGTGACCTCCCTGTGCGCGCGCATCCGTGACAGAACCGGCCGGCCCATGACGGTCGTGACTATATATATAATGGATGGATAATAATAATAATATAATAATACTTATAAATGACTGCGGCGTATAATTATAAAGCAATACAAACAGTTTAACCGCATAAGTTTCTTTTTTTTTTATGAAAAATCATTTTTAATTTCAAAGATAAATATTTAATATTTCTAACTTTTGGATGACGTATGAAAAGGTTGAATATATGAAGAGTGATGGTCTATATATGAATGGATGACGTATGGAAGGGTGAAAAATATGAAGAGTAATGGCGAACGGAAAAATAAAAGTGTCCAGGAGCGGGAATCGAACCCACAACCTTCTGCTTACCGGGCAGGTGCCATGTCCACTAGGCTATCCTGGATATCCAGGATATCCGTTCGCCATTACTCTTCATATTTTTCACCCTTCCATACGTCATCCATTCATATATAGACCATCACTCTTCATATATTCAACCTTTTCATACGTCATCCAAAAGTTAGAAATATTAAATATTTCTCTTTGAAATTAAAAATGATTTTTCATAAATAAAAAAGAAACTTATGCGGTTAAACTGTTTGTATTGCTTTATAATAATATAATAATAATAATAATTATTATTATTATTATCATTAGATAATGATAATGATCATAATGATGATGCGCGCGCATCCGTGACAGAACCGGCCGGCCCATGACGGTCGTGACTATATATGTTGACGAATGGCCCCGGGCAACGCCCGGGTTTTACCCGAGTGCGTATATATTTTAAAAATGTTTTAATTAAAATACTATTCGTTACAATTATAAATTGGCGCCGTAGATGTCTCTCTTATGAAACGTCCCGCCCCAAACTGTGTGTGTCTTGAAAATATAAAAATAAAAATGTGAACGGAAAAATATGTCCAGGGTAGCCTAGTGGTCATGGCAATCTGCCCGGTAAGCGGAAGGTCGTGGGTTCGATTCCCATCCCTTGAAATTTTTTTATTTATCCATTCTGATCAAAATCTATCCGTGAACATATACAGAAAAAGCCTGTATCATCTCCATCTCACCGCCGCCTCCTATCCACTAACATTCATTAATAAACATACCTATTCTCCCGCTCCCTCCAATCCTCCCCCAGTCTTCAGGACTACCTGCATGTTGCCCTATTCTCCCTTAACAGTTAGTATCTCCCGTCTCATCAGGCCATTTGGCATTCGCACCTTTTTCATTAATACCCCAGTATCCACTCACTTCTCCGACACCCCATTACAAAAACTGGTACCCAACTCAGTCCTCTGGATTCTTCTGGGGCGGTCTACTCTGTCTCATGCGAACATTGTTCCGCCACTTATGTGGGTGAGACAGGTAGAACCGTCGCCATTAGAATGTCAGAACACGCCCGCAACATTAATAACAACGACCCACGTTCCCTCATCTATCAGCATGTTGCATCCACTGGCCACTCTTTTAATACCAACCACCCCACTATCCATTACCGTAACATACCCAACCTACACCAAAGATTAATGTTAGAATCCATAGTATCCACCAAACTTAAAAGCATAAATAGAAAAATAGAAATTCCTGAAATTTATGATATTTTTGTTTCAAGTTAATCTATTCCTTTTTTACATAGTTAAAAATCTAGTATACAACATCTTATTACCATATCAATACAATAGTTACTTATTAAAAATTAAAAATTCTTACTGCTAAGTTATAAAAATTGTTTATTATGTAAATCATCCCTTGTATATAGGTCGGTCTCTCGCCTTAATTTCTGTCAAACCTGTAGAAGGGCGTTTGCCAGAAAGCTCGTAACGTTTACAATAAAAGATACCTATCTTCCATTTAATGATACGTTTAATCATTATCATTATCTAATGATAATAATAATAATAATAATAATAATAATTATTATTATTATATTATTATTATTATCAACATATATAGTCACGACCGTCATGGGGCGGCCGGTTCTGTCACGGATGCGCGCGCATCATCATTATGATCATTATCATTATCTAATGATAATAATAATAATAATAATAATAATTATTATTATTATTATTATTATTATATTATTATTATTATTAACATATATAGTCACGACCGTCATGGGCCGGTTATGTCACGGATGCGCGCGCACAGGGAGGTCACGTGCTCGCCGGCAGCCAACGGGCGCACGCCGCCGGCATTACGTCATCCCTATATATAGTCACGACCGTCATGGGCCGGCTGGCCGGCCCGGTTCTGTCACGGATGCGCGCTCATCATCATTATGATCATTATCATTATCTAATGATAATAATAATAATAATAATAATTATTATTATTATTATTATTATTATATTATTATTATTATTAACATATATAGTCACGACCGTCATGGGCCGGTTATGTCACGGATGCGCGCGCACAGGGAGGTCACGTGCTCGCCGGCAGCCAACATAAGTTGATGGATGGATGGATAATAATAATAATATAATAATAATAATAATTATTATT